TTGCAGAACCAATATAGAATAGTGGTGAAGAGTTTGGGGTCTGGTTCCAGACCATTGGATTTAAATTCCAGTCTACCATTTACTATCTGCAGTAATGTGAGCAAATTTCTTATTCTCTAAATGTTATAGTTTCCCCATTGTAAATTGAGGATAATAATCCTCCCCATCTCACAGGATTACTTACAGAATAAAAATGTTAGTAAGCACAAGGCACTTAGAACATTGTCTGGCACGTTTCAAATGTCCAGTAAATGATTTTACAATTAGCAGATGTGTCATCTGCTGCCGTCCCTACTCCCTACTATGAGGCAAGCTACAAAGATAGTTATTCCTCTCCTAATTAAAATACTTCCAAGTTTAGTAACTGTTATTTACAATACCTCCCCTCAGATACAGTATGCAAATAGAAATGAGACAGAAAAAAAAATGCAACTCACAAGGCACAGGTGGTTACCACAAATTCTTCGTCTAGAAAACCAATAACCTTGGGCATTTTTACTTGGACCTCAAATTTAGGCAAAACTGTTTTAATAAAAAAGAAAAAAAAAAGGTGAGAGTGGGCCAGAGATCTTGCAAGTATTAGCAGTAGATGCTATGACAGAACCTTTAACACGTGATCACATGAAACGACTTCAGCTACAATAGGGACAGTACTGAGAAGGAGAAGTCATTCATTACCATGAGCAGTCTGTGCTACGTTCACTTGGTTAACCTGATAGTACATTTCGTAGCCTCTCTTTCTCTGAATTTGTGCAAGATTTCCCAGATAGAGGGAAGGCAGCATGATTAGTCCCTGAAGATCATCACAGTTAATGTGGTAAAGCGGGACCAATAGGTTGCAATGTGTTCTTATTCTTTCCCTCCCTATGCCGAGCTCTTCTTCCCAAATGCTAGCCCTGCTGACTAACAGAGGTCTCAGGCCTACCATCTGACACTTGGCTACAAGCCTACTAAAGTGGTAGCTACGTGGAGTGCAGAGGTAATCTTCCATAGATTCTTCTCTCAGCTCCTCTGCATGGTTGGTGCACTTGGGCAGCTGAGGGTTCCTGGCTTCCCAGACCTTTGCAAGCTCACATTTATACACCCCTAATCATGCTTCAGAACTGGCTAGTAATTTTCTGTCATCTGTCAACTCCTCCTGATGGCCTCTTACTTTTCTAGCTTCTCTCACAGTTTCGTAAGGTGTTATTCCTATAATACAATCCTATTCTGTGATTTTGATGGCAGTTCTGATGAATTTTGGGAACCACGTTTTGTGATAGGACTTCTCAGTCATGGCATAAAATATTTAATTTACATTACAAAATTCACGTAACTGATAACTAATAAGATGGCTTCAATGTCTGACTTAGTAATCAACTATGGTTGAGTACTGACTAAATCAAGTGTGTTAAAGTTTAGTTGATTATTATACTTAGTTGAACTATAGTTTAGTTGATTACTAAATTATATGGTTTAGGAATCGTAGTTGATTAGAGTAGTGTAGGTGTAGGTTATAGACAACCATACAATAACCCCAGGAAATACTTTCAGTTATAAAATATAAAAAACAGATATATAGTGTATGTAGCTGACACAAAGTATTGGTTAACAAGTTATGTTTGAGTATCAGTTCAAATCTTTCTTACCCCTTAATGACTCTGTGATTTTTTTTTTTTTTTTTTTTTGAGACGGGGTCTCACTCTGTCACCCAGGCTGTAGTGCAGTGGCCGGATCTCAGCTCACTGCAAGCTCCGCCTCCCGGGTTCCCGCCATTCTCCTGCCTCAGCCTCCCGAATAGCTGGGACTACAGGCGCCCGCCACCTCGCCCGGCTAGTTTTTTGTATTTTTTTAGTAGAGACGAGGTTTCACCGTGTTAGCCAGGCTGGTCTCGATCTGCTGATCTCGTGATCCGCCCGTCTCGGCCTCCCAAAGTGCTTGGATTACAGGCTTGAGCCACCGCGCCAGGCCATGAGTCTGTGATTTTTTTAAGTTACTGACTTTTCCAGTACTGATACGCTCATTTGCAAAATGGGAATAATAATAGTATCTGCCCCAGAGGGGCATTGTGAGAATTAAATGAGGTAGTGCATAAAAAGCACTTAGCAAATATATGGGTAAATTTAAAAGCTTGCTAATTTTCAACTATTGTATGCTAGACCTTTGATTCTTACCTATAGGTGAAAACTAGCTAATCTTAAATACTCTGATGTTATAAATGCCTTACACATGGAGCATTCTTACCATATTCATTCACCTCAAATGAGCGCTCTATTTTCTTCCCTGACTCTTTCTGCAGCACGATCTTGTAGGAACCCAGAATGGGCTCCACTGATAGCGGGAAAGAGAGTTGGTTGAGTCCTCCTTGCAATTTGAGACCTTGCCTTTGGAAAATTCGGTTCTTCATGGGGTCCTATAGGTGAAAATATTATGAGTTCATAGAAACAATTGAAATATATAACTTTGAGTAGAAGGGCAGCTTAGCAGGTAAGAACGACATAGGCAGCTGTATCACAGATGGTTGGTAAATTGGCCCAAAGGTATTAACAAAGTTTTATAGGAATTCCAGCCTGAGATAAGGGCAAAAAGTTTGCTAGCTATGAGATATTACAGATAACATTTCATACTGGTGACTCTTTTTGGTATTATGTATGTTTATTTTGGTCAGAAATATTGGACGAGTCATCTCAAGAAATGTTCCTGCATTTACATCTTATCCACTTAGAATTTAAGGTGGACAGAAAAACAGTATTTGTTTAGCTTTGGTGAAATGATGAGGGAAGGGACAGATGCAATTTAACGTAACTTGTAGAGAGTCCTCATTCCAGTTGTAATGTACAATATACCACTTACCTCAATATAAACCACTGGAAACTGGAAAGAAAAAAAGATAGTATGAGCACGTGGTAGAATATAGAAGGAGAAAACCAAGACACCAGCACTGACAGAGTATATGGGCCAGAGGAGGTGAGTCTGTATATTCCAAATGAGGAAATACCCCATTTGGTTCACAGCACTTTATATGTTTAGCTTGGGACATACATCTTTCAAGAAGTCATGACTTCCCTATTGTTAAAAAACATACAATTGAGGAAACCTATTTAGATAAAAAGGTCCGAATAATAAGCTTATTATTATTTCACAGATGATATTTGTTTAAGAGGGAAATCAAATTCACACATTTATTTAATGAAAGTCACTAGAATCTTTAAAAGGACAACTTCAACTGCATACTGAATTCGTTTTAAGAATGCGGTTTATCGAGTGCCTTGATTCTGACCTCCCTTATTCTTCTAGCAGAGATATCCTTATGAGATCTTCCTGTGGTGGGTTTAAAATACCTCTTTAATTGGTCTTAAATTTCCTAAAAGAATAGGCCTCATATTTTCCCTCAACCGTCACCCGTCGTTACGAGACTCACCATTTCATCCAAAGGGTGGAAATTGATATCCATAGAGACAACACGGAATTTCACTGAAACAGAGGTATTTTCCTGTGAAATCTCCCAGTGGAGCCTGGGGTAGTAACAGCATGCCTGAATTCCCAGGATTGCAGAATAAAGTAATAAAGAAGCTCCTCCCCTCTCCCAAAGTTCCCCTTGCTCATTTGATTCCTCATACCTGTTTGTCCTGGTTTGTATATGGATTTGTCTGTCTGGACAAAGACTAGGTTCTCTGCTGTAGTTACATGTATTGATTTGCTCTTTGTGAAATGCAGAGTCGCCCCCTTTACCTCCACAGCAATGACCACCCAGGAAGATGGTAATTCTGGAATCTGTAAAACAGAAGTGAGCTGAAGAATCTGCCCAGACTTATTTCTGAATTTCTCAGCCATTAGGAGTTTCTGTCTTCCTGGTTGGTCCCTGAGAATTAGTAAGGGACAAAGTCAAGGATTATGCTCCTTGTTTTAAAAGTAGATTATTATGATGTTGTAACATGACAGTAACATGATTGAAGGAGAAAATATTACAATAAGGTAAGCTAATTCTTTCAAGTCAGTTATGACTGAAATGGGATGCTTAACATTTTCACAGCAAAATGGTGATATTAATAATTATTAATTTTATTTTTCAAAGGTCAACAACATTATATATTATACGGCCAGGCACAATGGTTCGTGCCTATAGTCCTGGCACTTCGGGAGGCCAAGGTGGGCAGATTGCTTGAGCGCAGGAGTTCAAGACCCGCTATAGTATCAGCTACTCAGGAGGCTGAGGTGGGAGGATCAACTGAACCTGGGAGGCCAAGGTTGCAGTGAGCCTTGATGGCACCACTGCACTCCAGCCTGGGTGCCAGAAAGAGACCCTGTCTCAAAAAAAATTTTATGTTATTATTTGTGGTAGTCATGTATGATTAAACAATTAATACCTTAAGTAGTAAAAGATTAAAAGGATAATACATCCACTATCAACCATTGGTGAGATCTTATATAAGTTATTTGACTTTATAAATCTCAGTGTTTCTATCTGTAATGGCATGAATATTATTTACCTCAGAAATTTAAGATCAGATTAAATCCTTTCTATAACTACTGTTAAATTTTATGCATGACACTTGTTTGTAAATATCATGTGAGCATATTCAGTAGAACTTCCATTCTTAAAATCTAAATTGAGGGCGGGCACTGTGGCTCATGACTGTAATCCCAGCATTTTGGGAGGCCAAGGTGGGTGGATCACAAGGTCAGGAGATCGAGACCATCCTGGCTAACATGGTGAAATCCCATCTCTACTAAAAATACAAAAATTAGCTGGCCATGGTGGCGGGTGCCTGTAGTCCCAGCTACTTGGGAGGCTGAGGCAGGAAAATGGCATGAACCCGGGAGGTGGAGTGCAGTGAGCCGAGACCATGCCACTGCACTCTAGCCTGGATGACAGAGCGAGACTCTGTCTCAAAAAAAAAAAGAAAACGTAAATTGAGATTCACTCTGTATTTCTCATTTTTCTTTCATTATGCATTTTTATTTTCAAAGGATCAGAACCAAAGGTATCAGCTAATATAATATGCTCTTTCTCTTTCCAGCTCCCTTATTTCAAGGAGCAGTACTGACCGTGAAGGAACTGCAGTAGAAATAGTTCCTCTTCGTCACCAGGTCTGTGAAGAGGGGACTGTTCTGCATTTCGTACCTCAGAGTTACTTTCAGTGCCACCGTCTCATTCAGGTGATTAAGGATGACACAGGCCTTTTCAGGAACTCCAGTGTAGAGGTGCGATGGGACCAGCACTAGGTACTGCCTGTGGAGGGGAGAAGTCCAGATTAACTATGGAAGGGTCAAAAAGACATCATTATTATGGGCATTTTCTAAGTAATTTTTGCTTTTGTCACCAATCATAGAACAGAGACAGATTTCAGCAGGAGTGTATTCTCCAAAGGCTAACCCAAAAGATCTGAGGAACTGAGAAAACCTCAAATTAAACCCCAGATATGCTTCTCTTCTGTTGTGGAAATACTCACCCACATAATATTAGAAAACCTGTCAATAGCCATGGGTAAGCAATCCATGAGTTGTTATGTATTTTGGATAAAAATTTCAAAATTTCAAAATGTGAATCAACCAACAAATCATCATTGAAAGCATTAAGGACCTCTCTGCATGTGGTCTTGGGTTTTGCATGAATGTTACTACAAATCTCTTTGTTCCAGAAAACTAGGAAAGATATAACATTTAATACCTGGGGAGAAACTGAATTGCTTTGCACTACGACCATGGGAGCAAAAATATTTTTTCTTTCTTTAGCTCTTTGGTGATGGAGACAAGGCAAACTGAGCTAGGCTAATCACCAGACATACTGCCATAGACACCCGGAAGAAAATACCACTCTCCTCTCACCAATTGCCTCTCACAGTCACCCAGGCACACTACATCTGGGGATGCTGTACGTGTGCACACTCTTCTCTCTCTTCCTGAGTGTCCCTGTCTACCTGGAAACTTCTGTTTGCTTCATAAGACTTATCTCAAAAGTGACTTTCTCGGTGCAGAATTTGGTGAATCCCTCTCTCTTCCATCAGGCCTCATGAAGAGGGAGCTTTCTTTGGAAGTATTCTGACAGAATCCTGCAATGCCTGCTTCGGTTTTTCTTCTATAGTTCATTCTCTGTGCACCATCTCTCTACTTTTCCATACTGTGAGATGTTGAGGGCAGCGTCTGAATTTTGTTAATCTGTAGATTCCCAAGACCTAATGCCAGCTCCTAAAGGTGTGCCAAAGGATTGAGTGAACTGACACACAAATCCTGGCTTGTCTGTTGAGCATACGTTCATCCTGGCAATCCCTGACTTGAGGAAAACACAGGTACTGAGTCATTTCACAATGGTCACGACGTGCAATCCATTTTATGAATCAATAAAAAACGTATCCCTTTTTGGGTAGGAATTCTCTATTCTTTTTTGGTAAATGTTTCATAGATGTCGCTGCCTTATGTCTGTGAGCTTCCGGAAATTGGAGGATGTCTCTTTTCATGTGAGTAGTAATGACTTGCTGATCCTTCCTGGTCCCTTTGACAGCAGAAAATGGTGTAGGGAATTAGGAAACACAGATCAAAGAGATAATACAATGGGAAAAAAGGAGGACAATATAAGTTTCTGGAAATAGTGCTTACGGTTCTGCAGCAGCTGAAGCATCACTGGGAAGGAGGAGGAAAAGCAGGATCAAGACTGGCTGGGGCAGTTGATTTCTCATTACGGTGCAGAAAGGAGGAGGGCAGAATGGGAGTCTGAGCCCTCGATTCTTTTAACCCTGTTCTTGCTCCGGCTCACTGGTTTTTATTTCATCTGATGGGCAGTGAAAGTAAACTGCCAATCATTTATTTTTGTAACATATTAACTACTTCCAGCATAAAAAAATCAATTCCAGATAATTTTCATGACTATTGGTATTATTTTATCCACTTTCCCAAATTTTCTAAATTCCTGAAAAATAGTAGTTTGAGGCTACCACTAGCTCAGGTCATTAATCAGTTTTAAAACTATTTTCATGAAAATACAAAATAAATTACATGTTTTGATGAAATAAACCAATATTCTTGCATTTTTTAAAAGAGGTATTAATGTAAATCCATATCCCAAATATGTTTTGGTAATCTAGGGAGCATGACATATATTCTTCACCCAAGATTCATCCTAACTGGCTCTTCACTGAAACACGGAAAAGAAATCTGTCACAGAATTTTAAATAAAATAAGTTTGGGAGCAACCTCTCCATTGCTTGAAAGATTCACTTTTGATTTGTACAGGCATCCTTATGTTTATTATTTTAAAAAGAGCTGTTCATTGGGTATAACAACGTATGTAATATATAATTACTATTTCTTAGTTCATTCAACATCTAGAATATAAACCCAATTAACTTACGTTGTTCTCTAAGAAAATGATCTCTCTTTGATGAACATTCTTATTTAATTTTATCCTGAGGGATAGAAAATATTTTATCAACAGTGATGCATCATCCTGTTTGCTTTCCAAGGGGGATTCAGATGTTAGAATTTATTTTTATGGAACACTGAAAAGAAGAAAGGTCCCATTGTTAAATTAATAAAACTAGGGCCTTATAAAATTGAAGTTTGCACATTTTGAATAAAGAACTGATTTCAACTATAAAATAAGATGTGAAGAGAAATAGGCACTTCTGAGAACGGGGAATATTTTATTGTGTTCCCTTCTAAATTGGGGCTAGGCAGATCTTGACGTACCCTTTTCTATACGACCTGGAAGAGTGATGGAGAAGTAAAGATGATGTATGTGACAACCGGTGGTGAACTGCAAAACTGTAGATATGTAAGCTATTAAAATTCCAATGATGATAAACTATGGCTAAAAAAATGCCAAGTCAAATAGAATAAACTGTAGTATAATACATTGTGTTAGCCCTTGGTAGTTGACAAATACTTGCTTGGGTGATTGTAAAACTCTTCTGCTTTATTTTGGCTCCATTTGTATGCTCTCTTACTTCCACTCATCTTCCCAGCTCTTCCCAACTCCCACCCTCACCCCTAAATTACCATAAATGTGCTTATTGTCTATCAGCTTAATATGGGATAAATTAACCTACAGTAAGCAGTAAATGACTTTTAAGAGGTCTCTATATTACTTTTTCCAGGCATGACTATCCTTTTTAGGTGTGCACCAAACCTGTATTTGACCAAATGCTGAATGACTAAACATAAAATCCTTTTTCGTAAGCATGAAGCAAAAATTGTCATCACAGTTCGAACTTCTGGAATAGAAGAATAAATCTCAAGAATTATCAGAATTTTATCATTTTAATTTTTAATTAAAAATTTTAGTGGATGCATTTGAAATATTTGACATTATAGGGTAAACACAATACTTTCTCAGCACTGTCAGCTAAGGCTTCTATACTTTTGGGATCTTCAAACATTTTCCTTGTATTCCTTAAAAGAATTTTATTAAACATGTAATACCTCACATATACCTGACATCTAAAATTTTCACCATTATCAAGATGGTAAGTGTAGTATAATACTGATATTTAAAAAATAAAATGTAATACCACTTTTTAAATGTATCCGATGAAATGTAGACACTGCAGTGATTTTTTTGCCCACCACCATTCCTGTAAAACACACTTGAACACTTTTTTCCCCAGCAGGAAACTTTATATCGCTCTTGTTTCTTTTTAGTCTTGTATTTTCATCCTACTTCCTCAGGTAATTTTATCCTGGAGTTACATACTTCAATACATTTTATTGATCGCCCTATTATATGTTTCTGCAACTAAAGATCATCAAAGATTATTATAAAAAATATTCTTGAGCCTGTAAAGTTCTAATTAGTAATAAATGTTTTCTAGATTGCATTATCATTAAAATTATTATCAATACGCTATTTATAAAATTATATATATATATCGACTACAACCTTAATAGATACTAAAAATGAGAACATTTTGTTCAAAAATAATTTTTTAGTGAAATAAATCATGTATTCCAGCTGGCTCCCTCAAATAAGATTGTGTATTCTTGGATGAATATTGCTTATTGCTGGATTAAAACAGGTTTCATCTATTCTCTATTTTTTCTACTCTGCTCTATTTCAATTCTAGAATATTGCTATTCTGTTTTCTATTGTATAGATGTAAGCACTAAGAAAACCTGTTCACGTAAAGAGAGAAATAGAAATATGGGACATTCTATTATAACAATATTATCTAAATATTTAGGCTTCCATGTTATAAGCCAAAGGTCACATTATAATCATTAAAAATTACTTTCAGTTATCTATCAGCTGATAAATCCTCTGTAACTTTATTGAAAGCAAAGTGCTAAACCAGGTCAATTGCAACAGGATTTGGAAATCAGCCATTATGATCATTCTTATTCTCGGTTCCTAGAAAGTATTCAATAAAGGCTTAAAAGGACTTATAAATGGCCACCAATCATTACTTTCTTACTTAAAAACACAGCTTTTACCAAATATACTCAGAAAGTTTGGAAATTTTGAAATATCATTTATTTTAATATACTTTGTCAATATAAAGCCTCATAAAAGGCTTTTATCTGATCAGAGCCATAACCTGCACATTTAGTTCATTTCATTTAACGAAAGTCTCCACCAGTAACCTGACTTGCAAAGCCAGTCCTTATTGTCAAAATAAGCATTCAAACTGGACTTATTTCTTACAGGAAAACATGTTGCATTATTTTTAATTTCAATAAACTCACTAATATATATTCCCGGGATGACTCTCCCACGCTGCAATTTTAAGATAAAGAGTTTTGCCGGATATTTGTTACCGAGATGAAGTAAGACAGCCCTACTTTGACATTTCTTTCCGTGATTTCTGCTTTATTCTTATGGAACTCTCAGGGGGAATACAACATTGACAAGAGCTGGAAAAGAGAAGAGGGGAATTTTAAATGTGAATTGTAATCATTTCTGTCACCTCTACAATATGTATGAATACAGAAAATTTCAGAACAGGCCAAAAGAATCCATTTCTAGCATAATGTTTTTCTTATACCAGAAATTGTTTTAAGACAGATGGGTATATGATACCTACACTGGGCTTATGATGCTTTGATTAAGAGCATTTGTGCAAATATCAATATTTTGATTTGTCTTTTTGTAAGAGATAAGCAAGGTGTTTTTCGCTCCAAGATACATCTAAAATACATATTATAATTGAAAGAGAAAATTTATATTAAAATCAACTCATAAGTTATGCCATGATTATATTACAGCATGATGACAGTGATTTTATATCATTAGTTACAACAATCGTAGGATTATTGATCATGCACAATTTCAAGGATCCCAGAAATGACATAGACATAAACTGAGGGCAAAGTTGACTGTACCTAAAAGATTTTAGCCAAATGTCAAAGTCAAAGATAAATGTCATAGTGCCCCAACAAATAGTATGTGTTTATCAAAAGTGATAAACCTGAAGATGTCATCACAACATCAAAAACTTCAATGAAAAAGACAAGACAAAAGCTAAGTTACGACTGTAATTATAGCAATAAATATAGGGACTAGAAGAGAAAAGATACATGTGAAAAAAGTTGACTTCGTAATTGCAAATAGTTTTGACACATTAATTGTATGGCACATTTTTCAAATGATCCAAAATAAAGCTACTTTTCAAAGGAACTCTACAAAAGACATTATTACCTTTGGACATATTTCTAAACCAACTTTATTTTCAAAGAGAACTGTGTTTACAAAGCATTGAGCAACTTTGAGTGGGTTGAGACTGAAAGTATCCTTGCCACTGGAGTATATACTGGGGGAGGCAGAGTTGGAATCATTGGCATATGTGGAATGAAATTAATGCATGTATTAGCATATAAGGAATGTGAATAGCAATACTTTTAATAAACAAAAAAATCAGGAATCTTCATTGTAAAATTTATCTACCATGTTAATATGCTGATTAATCCTGTACGTTTTCTCTCCTTGTGAATACTTGGGCTGGCAGAGAACAGGCTGGAAAAATCAGGAGATTACAGACCATATTTCCATCCTTCAAGTATTTCCCTGCATGGATACCGAGAGACAGAACAAATGATAAAAAGAATATGATGAATGTGCTTTTTGTCTTATTGGAAAGACTCACACTTAATATGACACTATATTAATGTTCAGAGATCAGGCCAGTGGGCTTGTCAACTGAGCTGTAATTCCACCAGACTGCTTTAGTCATACTGCAATCACGCTTCCTTCTATACACATTATTAAAAACTGCCCTAGTGGCAAAATAATCTTCTACCAGCCCAGTCTTCTTTTTTTATACTAGAATTAAAATTTTTATTCATTCACAACATTATTAGGAGAGTGAAAGGAAAAGTCATAGAGAAGAAAGAGAGATTTTCTGTATATATAATTGACAAGTGCTTATACCCAGAATATATTGAAGACTTCCAGAAATAAATTAGAAAAAGACCTAGCACCTTACACAAAAGAATATCCAGAATCATATTAAGTAAAGTTATATAGGTACCTCAGAACAACTTAAATAGTTAAAAGTGGTACAAATTAAGTCTGAGGAATGAGGCCTGGGGTGAGTATATAGGGCAAAATAATTCCACTTTTTATTTCATAATTGTCTGTATTATTTTCTCTGTGTATATATTACTGGATAATAAAAAAGTTATAATAAAACGAAAAGCATGAGAGTAATCAGTGCTATCAAAGGCAATGCACTGCTGCAAGGAGAATACATTAAAAGCTTTCGGAGCTAAAAAAAAAAAAAAAAAAAAGAATATCCAAATAGCTAATAAACATATGAAAAGTTACTTGGTCTCCAGAGAAATGAAAATTAATACCACAATGAAATCCTCTACATATCCTCCAAAATGTTTAAAGTTAAGATTCATAATGCCAAGTTTTAGTGGGGATGTGGAGCAACCGGATCTCTCATCCAATTGTGAAAATGAGTCATCACTATCTACTAGAATTCACCATCCACATGACCTCTGTCCCAGCAATTTTTACCGCTACATAAATACCCAGGAGAGTGACAGTAAATGTGCAAAAAGTCACGCGTAAGAACATTTGCAGTTGCATTATTTATAACAGCTCCAAATTGAAACAACTCAAATGTCTCACAATAGGATATGTAAATTGTGGCCTATTCGTACAATTATAACCATATAGTGTTTTTCAATGAAATAGAATAATGTTAACTGCCTCAGCATCAATGAATCCCACGAATATAGAACAAAAGATGCCACACACACACACACACACACACGTATACACAAACACATTACAAATCATATAATTCTATTTACAGAAACACCGGTGTGTTCATTCTAAGTCATTCCAGACTAGTCTTCTTTCTTGCTCTTAGTGAATCATCAATGGAAGTTTTGCTCAGGAGAATGAAATGTTCCATACCTGGACATACAAACCCCGGGATCCCCTCATGAATCTTCTACCTTCACTACCTCAGTCATACCGAGCTCCTTGCTTTTCTTTGGCAGTTGAGAATCTTTCTATTTGACTTGAAGCCTTCACACTGTTTATCATCTTCTCCTGTATTGTTCTTCTGCAGATGTTCTGATAGCTAACTTCCTCGCTACCTTAAACCTTTGCTCATCTGTCAGCTTCTCAATGACGTCTATCCTGATCACAGCATTTAAAATGGCAAAATCTAACTCCCAATCTTATGGTACTCTTGATCTCCCTGGCTGTGCCTTTTTAAAAATAACACTTGTCATTTTATGACATGTTATATAATGAACTTAGTTATATTTCTTGTTTATTGCCTGTCTCTCCTCTCTGGAATATAAGGCAGAGATGTCTGGTTTTTCACTGTTTCTTATTATTGAGAAGCATATCCACTAATAACAAGCATTCAATAATTATTTGTTGAATAAATAAATGAAAAAAATTATGTGCCCATGAGACACGACACTTGCTTTTTCTCTCTTAAAAGTATATAAAAAGATCAATGGATAAATCGAATTGTATGCATATATTTAATATAGAATGAAGCAATAATATTTCAAGGAGAATGAGTTAAGAATAACTTCAGATGATGTGAAGTCAGTCTTTGTACAAGCAATCATGTAACAGAGTCAATTATATAGTTTTATCAGTAGATCACTGGACCTTCTTTCTCTTTTATTAGTGACATAGATGAATATATATATATATACACACACACACACACATAGTCTTTAAAATCATTAAAAATATTGATTAATGTAAGAAAGAAAGAATGAGGTTCTCATTTACATCCTTCTAGTTTATTATTATTTCTTGAGAAAATATTGCTGGGTTGATTACAAAGTGGTGCCTGTGGTTGTGCAGAAGAGGGGCTCTCCACAGTACTGATGAGACCAAGGCTGCCGTGAGCTAACTTGCATTTTTCTATCAGCCGAGGGTGTGGTGATAGCTGAGAACAGGAAGATTGTGAGTTAGCTGAACAAGAGGGCTACATGTCCCAGACCAAAAAGAAAGGCAGACACATAGCTTATCTGCTGTTTTCTCTTTGCTTTCCTGTTCTCCTGCCAGCCTGACCCTTTCTCCTCAGTTAGGACTCCACAGATAGCATTAAAATAAGAATTCTTCTTTTACCAAGGACCTGCCAACATGGGGCACGTTCACACCAAAACTGTGAAGAAGGCGGCCCGGGTCATCATACAACAGTATTACATGTGCGTAGGTAACAACTTCCACAGAAACAAATGCATGCGTGAGGAGATGGCCATTATCCCCAGCAAGAAGCTCCGTAATAACATAGCAGGCTGTGTCAATCATCTGATGAAGCGGATGCAGAGGGGCCCATTGAGAGGTGTTTCCATTAAGCTGCAGGAGAAGGAGAGAGAAAGGAGAGACAATTATGTTCCCAAGGTCTCAGCCCCGGATCAGGAGATCATTGAAGTAGATCCTGACACTGAGGAAATACTGAAGCTTTTGGACTTTGGCAGTCCGTCCCACCTGCCGATCACTCAGCCTACAGTTGGGATGAATTTCAAAATGCCTCTGGGGGCTGTTTGATTCTTTCTACAATGCTGTAATGTTTTCAATAAATGTGGCACAACAACAAAAAATAAAGATTTTGTAAGATCATAAAAATCTATTTTGAGTCCATGTAGCGTTTACCATAGCCAGTGAATGACCAGAGAATTAAAAGCCAACTAAAGGTCACTGAAAGTGGTAAAGATGATTGATTTTGCAATAAAATGAGGGCACATAATAGCAGTAATTTATAGTACTATAGCACTCCTTGGAACCTGCCTTTTTGTAGAAAAAAATGTAAATTTGAGAGAGGTTAATTTGCAATTTACTAAGAAGAGAAAATTCATACATTTTTAAGGCACAACTAAGAGAAACAATAAGGTTATTATTTTGAGAGAATAGTGCGCATTTTTGAAAATCTAAAAGGGATCTTTCAGTTCCCCAGATGACATAGGAGCTCCAAGGTAAAGGGAAGGATAGGTGTTGGGAGAAAAGGCAATAGACATGGTTGTATGTCCCCCTCCCAACTAGACCCGAGCATGGGTCAAGGTACATTACGGTAAGCACGTCTTTTGGGAGTGTGAAAAATCCAGAAACAGAACCATTAAAATAATAAAACTTCAGTTTAAAATAAAATAAACCTGCCTCAAAATAGAATTACTGATGTAGATAGATACGCACTGAATGTAGAATGGTAATGAGTTAAAACATCCTACCAAATGGTAAAAGTATTCTTAGGCATAAAAATGTCACATTTTGCTTTTAAATTGAAAGTTCATCTTTTGGGTGTAGAAGAGAAAAGACTTGGGAGGAGTTAGACATGTGGAAAAAGTGATTAGTGGGGTCTCCCTCAAACAGGTGCAGGAATTTGCCATGGGCCGGAACAGAAATAAATCATATTCTGCAGTGGAAATCCAAAAATAAATAAACACACATTTCAAATTGCTGTTTTTGATTGAGCATGAACAAAAGCCTGTTATAGTCAGACAAGTAAATGCAATTTAAGTAAGACATTTCGAAACGAAATTGCATTAGAGACTGTTTCTTACAGTCTCGCATTCTTACCAGTAACTTTAACCTTATCAATACATGTTTTTTTTATTCTGAAGAGTGAGAAAAACATGAAGTATTTCAAAGGAGACACTAATATTTTCTCAAAATTACAGAACCATTAAGCCTGTGCTGATTGAATTAACTCCATGTTTATGTTGGTGAGGCCACAGGACTTGGTTGGGTGAAGTAACCTAAGCCCCTCTCATCTCCTTCCAGGACCCCGTGGCCTGCCTCAGTTTTATTGTGTCAGCCCACCCCTCCCTCCCACTCCCAAACACCTAACTGTTACTCCAGGAGTAAACAGCAGAGTCAGTGGCTGCTCGGATATGGATATTAGAAAAAAACTGAAAAAGAGATTGATAAACTATTTTGAGGCTTTATTCCTTGCCAAACATTAGTCTAGGCTTTTTCAGGTCTTGCCTTGGGAGCTGAAAGTAAGGAAGACTTTACAATTCCTCTGTTGTAAGATTGACTGCAGGGGTGATGGGAGGATGGTGGGGGAATTCTTGCAAAGAATGATTTTACCCTCTCAGTAATACTATAACAATATATGATTTGATTAAATGAATAACTTTTTTTTTTTTTTTGAGACCGAGTCTCACTCTGTCGCCCAGGCTGGAGTGCAGTGGCACGATCTCGGCTCACTGCAACCTCCAGCTCCTGGGTTCAAAGGATTCTCCTGCCTCTGCCTCCCGAGTAGCTGGGACCACAGGCGTGCACCACCACACCCGGCTAATTTTTGTATCTTTAATGATGATGGGGTTTCACCATGTTGGCCAGGCTGGTCTCAAACTCCTGACCTCAGGTGATCCACCCACCTCAGCCTCCCAGAGTGCTGGGATTACAGGCACGAGCCGTCGCACCTGACCTCATAAACTATTTTCTAAAAGAAATCCTGTTCTGGTAACAAAGAATGGTTACTTCCCAAGTTTGCAGCGACTGTTTTTTGTTGTTGTTGTTGTTTACGAAACTTGTTTACATTACAGTTTACTCTCTGTGTGTTTATCCTTTAGGAAAGTTAATGAAAATTACAAGTCTCTGAAAGATCTGGAGTTATTAAGAATTGAGGAAAGTTTTAGTAAGAGTTTTGTATCATTTCCTAATTAGGAGTGACTTCCTTCTCAGAACAAATTGAAGTTTAATATTTTTCATCCCAGTGGGGTGAAAAATTTACAGACACCAAGACACAAAAATCAAAGGATTTTACAAATGTTTATTTTGCCTTCTGAACAGATTACCAAAATAACATTTAATATCACCGGGATTGAAATATCTTTCAATTCTGACCAAAGATGGAGAACACGTTCAAGCAACCCTCAGGCACAATGTAGCAAATTGCCCTTTCATGCAGGGTTTTCAGGAGTCACGGGAGACACCGTCTCTGGTTGATTTCTCTGTAGGATCTGTGGCTAATCTTATTCCTCCAAAACACAAACACACACAAAAACCCTTGCTGAGAAAGACAGACTGTCACTTGACAGAGTAAAAACAAATCCATAGGGATTTATCAAAAATTTTGTAGTCACCACCATAATGCTAAACTTACATGTTCTTCCTCAAATCCAAAGGCTAAGGTGAAAAAAACATATAGTTGGAAGGGAGCAGTTCTTTTTTGGCTATCATCTCAATATCATTATACTTAATATTTGGCACCACAAAAAAAAAACTTCCTAAATTTTAGGTGCAGGATAAGTATGACCGTACATGGACACTGGAGTCTTCAGGGAAAATTCAGTTATCCTGGGATTCTATAAACATGACTGTCTCATAAACGGGCTTCAGGGATTGTAAGAACCCCTAGAGATTGTATGCACTCACATAAAAATGAGAACGTGAATCTTCATGGTCAAAGAGTCTGAAGCTTTCATCAGATTTTCAGGAGTGATATAGTTGGATGTCCCTCCAAATCTCATGTCAAGGTGGAATCCCCAGCGTTGGAGGTGGGGCCTGGTGGGAGGTGTTTGGGTCATGGGGTGATCCCTCATGGTTTGGTGCTGTCCTGGACATAGTGAGTTCTTAGGAGATCTGGTTGTTCAAAAGTGTGTAGCACCTTCCCTTGCAACCTCTTGCTCCTGCGCTGGCTGTGTGATGTGCCTGTTGCCACTCTGCCTTCCACCATGAGGGCCTCCATCTGAGGCCCTCCAGAAGCTGGGAAGATGCTGGCACTGTGCTTGTACAGCCTGCAGAACCATGAGCCAATTAAAGCTTTTTAAAAATAAATTACCCAGCCTCAGATATTTCTTTATAGTGTGGAAAGAATGGCATAACATAAGGGGTATATGGGAGCCAAACAAACCTGACCTAATGACTTGATTCACATTGATTGAACTTATACTGATTTAATTTGTGTTCCTTTAGAAAGCTAAAAATTGTGGTGGAAGTCTTCTTTTTGTGGTTTCAGAAATTGTATTAGTCTGTTATCACGTTGCTATAAAGAAATATTAGGTTGTTGCAAAAGTAGTCGCGATTTTTGCCATTACTTTTAATGGCAAAAACTGCAATTACTTTTTTTTTTTTTTTGAGATGGAGTCTTGCTCCGTTGCTTGGGCTGGAGTGCAGTGCCAGGAGCTCAGCTCACTGCAACCTCCTCCTCCTGGGTTCAAAACATTCTCCTACCTCAGCCTCCCAAGTAGCTGGGATTACAGGCGCCTGCCACCATGTTCGGCTAATTTTTTGTATTTTTAGTAGAGATGGGGTTTCACCATGTTAGCCAGGCTGGTCTCAAACTCCTGACCTCAGGTGATCCACCTACCTTTGCCTCCCAAAATGCTGGAATTATAGGCATGAGCCACCACGCCCTACCTGCAATTACTTTTGCACCAACCTAATACCTGAGACTGAGTAATTTATAAAGAAAAGATGTTTAATTAGCTCATGGTTCCACAGGCTGTACAACAAG